CAGTACTGCTTACTTTGACACACCTGCCAAATTAAATACTATCCTAATGGGCGGCACGGTGGCTGAGTGGATAGCACTCTCGCCTCTCAGCAAGAAGGTCCTGGGTTCGAATCCCGGTCGGACCAGGGCCTTTCTGAGTGGAGTTTGCATGTTCTCCCCGTGTCTGCGTAGGTTTCCTCCGGGTGCTCTGGTTTCCCCTACCACTAAAAATATGTACAATAGTTCTGGCATATGCCTCCTGTACTGGCGACCCCGCTCCCATCTCTGTGTGGAGTGAGAGACAAATGCCCAAAATTAACAATTGTAAACCGCTTTGAGACTCTGATCTGCAGTGAAAAGGCGGTATATAAATAAAAACTTACTTACTTACTTACTTACTAATTACTGTGTGTGAGAAATGGAAAGTCTTGGCTTTTACCAACCTGAACAAGTTACTTGGAGGTGGAAAATCACGTTAAAACCTTAAAATGGACCATTCTCTGTTGAAATACATACATTACATTCATGTAATTTTGTGAGTGAGAAATAACAACACAGAGTTTGAAAAATGAGCAGTAGGACTGAAGGGGTGGGGTGACGTGTTCGTGCCGATTTGTAACAGAAGTTCCGGACATTAACGTGGATAGAAAGAAACATGTTTTTGATTATGCAACAATGTGAAAAGCCTATAATGTCTCTTTAAAAATCATTCCTCACAAAAAATGAACTTGCAACCCCTTTTTGTTAAAATAAATATTACATAAAAAATCCATGTTGTGTCCCGAGAGAAACAGCCTTTAAAAGTAAAATGGACAAATTAGACCGCAACATGCTTCATTAAAAACATGAATATTTTGAAAACTTGTCAGAAATATTTCTGTTAGTCACTTTTTGATGCTTTGCCTGAGACAGATAGATCATATTTTGGTTTTCTATTGACTAGTGGTAGCACCCAACCATTTTGAGATTATATAGATATAAAATTATTGTGTGGAGTGAAAGTTCAGTACCCCTGCTTTAATCAGCCACATCGATTCCCCCAAATAAACAGTCTTTGCGTCCGTGTCCGTATCGACATGAACCCGAAATAGCTCTTGCCGTATCTTGCTCCGCTCTCATGGACTTTTCAGGGGTGTTTTTTCTGTGGTGGCTCGGCTGTCAGCAGAGAATGCACCTGTCAGGACATCCGCTCTAGTGACCACCACCACCCCTCCCCCACCCTCCCTCCTCTGTCTGCCTCCATGTTATCTCCTCTCCCCTAGGCGCTACACTGGGACATCCAGGCCACCGGTGGGAGTGCGGTAGTTAATCTCTCCTAGTTAAACGCTCTTGTATGGCCCAGAGCGCGAGGAGCAGTCAGACGCTCCAGCCCTAAACTCTCCGGAGACTCGGCTTCATCCCTATATTCCCATGTATTACAGGCAGAGAAAGGCAGACTTAGAAGTGTAACCTTGAATAAAGCTCGTCTGAGTTCTTGTACTGCATTAATATTTGATTTGAAAGCGGTGGCTGGCAGTGACAATTTCTCTTTTGCATGAGCTTGGGTTTGTTTTAGTAGAAATATGACTTTATAGACCAGTATTCCATTAAGGATTGTCGAAAGTATAGAAATTCAGATATGAATCAATTCGAAAACTGGTGTTGAACCTCTTTTGAGCCAGTAGCAATGTTATAAAACCACATTAACACAACTAGATTGGACATTCACAGGAGTTTTAGATTGCTCTTAAACTGGGACAGCATTTTTATCTTTTTACAGTGTAGTTTTAAAGTCATCTGTCGACGTGTTTAAAGCTGGATTTGGATACAAAAAGATTTCCCAAGCTTTAAACATCTCAAGGGGCACTGTGCAAGCAATTATATTGAAATAGTATCAGACCACTGCAAATCTACCAAGACCCGGCCGTCCCTCCAAACTTTCATCTCAAACAAGGAGAAGACTGATCAGAGATGCAGCCAAGAGGCCCATGATCACTCTGGATGAACTGCAGATAACTACAGCTGAGGTTATCTGCAAATTTGGCCTTTATGGAAGAGTGGCAAGAAGAAAGCCATTTCTCAAAGATATCCATAAAAAGTCTTGTTTAAAGTTGCCCACAAGCCACCTGGGAGACACACCAAACATGTGGAAGAACGTGCTCTGGTCAGATGAAACCAGGGCTGGACTGGCCATCGGGCGTACCGGGCAATGCCCGAAGGGCCGATGCCCATATTTGGGCCGGTCTGTCTGCCACATACAAAAAACATGTTTGTGAAAAGTGTTAAACGGTTGAGAAATGTTCGAGGGGAGCGCGCGTTCCGCGGGGCACCTGCTGTATGTACTTGAACGGGATTCCACCACGTCAGCGGCCGCAGTGTTCCCGCATCCAGCGGCTCTGAGCTGGACGCAGGAACCGCTCACCGGGAACCGCTCACAACACAACACGGTGAGCGCGTAGCCGCAACGTGGCCATGTACCCAAGACCATAAACGCGCACAGGACCATGCGTCTCTTTGCGTAATTTGTGCACCCAATAAATACACCGCTGCAGAAAACAGTCCGCGTCTCCCCTCTCCTCTAAATTAAAGCTCGGATACCTAAATTTTCCATTGCATTAAAAGTTCATGTTTGAGCCCAAAAGTAAAATGTTGTGAACGGATTTAGAGCCAGCAAATGGCTGACAATATGCATTTCAGAATTTTTTACCAATTCTCATCCCTGTAACAAACAATATTGTCTGTGCCCACCTCCCTCACTCTGAGACATGTTTATTACTCTGTTTAATGTAGACTATTGTACTGTATTTTATTGTTGACCCTGGAGAGATCCTGATCCTCTACAGTATATTCTTCCACATACTGTATAAACCAGGGGTCGGCAACATTTAGTGCCCCTAAAGTGCCAGGCGGCATGTGCATTATAGACTGTGTGTGCGCATGGATCCCAAAGATAAAGAGAGAGAGTCGATAAGACTGGACTAAGAATGAGAATGAACATTTGCTTTCAGTCAATGAGGAAGGACTGCTTCATGTTTGCGATGTAATGAAAAGTTTTGTTGCAACAGGAGGAACAATGAAGCTTTAAACACCGTTCACTGAAAGATTCATTCATCATAAAGTCAGAGCACCTATTTTCAGACTTCAAAAACCTTCTCAAAGACGGTGAAAGAAAAGGCCATTAAGAACATTCAGCCTAAACTTCAGCCTGTGATGGATATGAACAGACAGTGATGCAGGTGAACTCGGAGCCAAAAAGCAGATTTATTTACTCTATTTGTACAATTGCATGAAGGCAAAAAAATGGAAGTTAAACTTAAAGCAGAGTTGCCACATGGTGCGTCATTCTCTCCAAGACACGCTGCAGTGAAAATACACATTTGATAATTGTGAATGGTTTTTATGTGTTTAGCCTTTACTTTGTCATTTAGATATTAGTCTAATATAGCTAATATAGCTAATATAGCTAATGTAGCTAATGTAGCTAATACAGCTTCAGCCCCAGCTTCAGCCTTATACAACGCTGTTAGTTTTTTTTTTGTCAAATAGGGCTCCTTGAACCTTTTGAGTTGCCTGGGCCGCCAAAAAGGAAAAAATGCCCGGGCCGTTTTTTTGTCCCAGTCCAGCCCTGGATGAAACCAAAATTGAACTTTTTGGCCACAATGCAAAACGATATGTTTGGCCTAAAAGCAACACAGCTCATCACCCTGAGCACACCATCCCCACTGTCAAACATGGTGGTGGCAGCATCATGCTTTGGGCCTGCTTTTCTTCAGCAGGGACAGGGAAGATGGCTAAAATTGATGGGAAGATGGATGGAGCCAAATACAGGACCATTCTGGAAGAAAACCTGTTGGAGTCTGCAAAAGACCTGAGACTGGGACGGAGATTTATCTTCCAACAGGACAATGATCCAAAACATAAAACCAAATCTACAATGGAATGGTTCACAAATAGACGTATCCAGGTGTTAGAATGGCCAAGTCAAAGTCCAGACCTGAATCCAATCGAGAATCTGTGGAAAGAGCTGAAGACTGCTGTTCACAAACGCTCTCCATCCAACCTCACTGAGCTCGAGCTGTTTTGCAAGGAAGAATGGGCAAGAATTCCAGTCTCTCGATGTGCAAAACTGATAGAGACATACCCCAAGCGACTTGCAGCTGTAATTGCTGCAAAAGGTGGCGCTACAAAGTATTAGCGCAAGGGGCCGAATAATATTGCACGCCCCACTTTTCAGTTTTTTATTTGTTAAAAAAGTTTAAATTATCCAATAAATTTAGTTCCACTTCACGATTGTGTCCCACTTGTTGTTGATTCTTGACAAAAAATTAAATTTTTATATCTTTATGTTTGAAGCCTGAAATGTGGCGAAATGTTGAAAGGTTCAAGGGGGCCGAATACTTTCGCAAGGCACTGTAAGTTCAAGATTTTGCATTGAGGTCAGGTCGGAAGTGTTCGTTAGTCCTCAATGCTTGTTTTACAGATACACATGTACACTACAGTATATTTATAGAATTGCAATGCATCACTTTCATAACTAGATTAACAGGACTGAAGTAAGTCATGGTGAGGAGCTCAAACCAGAAGCAAACAGACCCCAACAATTCTCTTAGAAGACTCATTTGTATTATGTAGTCTTTATTGTGCCTGTCTTATCATATCAATACAAAAACAGTATGTTGCGCCGAGACAGCTTTCTCCGGAGTTGAACAAAATTGAAGGTAATAACGCAGTTTCTAGCTCCTCTGTTGATTGGAAGTGTTCTCATAAACGGAAGTCATATAGTTTCCTTTGAAGCAGTTTGTTTGTAATGCAATTCCCCATCTGCCTCCTCGTCGCGGATGGCAATTTTCATTTGTCTTCTGCGCTCCACAATGCGGCAAGATGTAAGACTTCATTATCATACATTCAAGGACAATCCATAGCTTTGCACGGCGCACACACGTCAGCGCGGCAGATAAATGTCTCGCTAAATGTGCTTTAAATGACAAGCGTCGGTATTGGCGAGCCGGCTTCAGGTGGGGATCCCCGCCTGGCGCCAGGGAATGGGCTTCACCGCCGACCGCTTTGGGGGCCGCGCTCTTTTGGCCCTCGGAGGTGGAGACGCATCAGCGCTCAGGTCTATAAAGGTGGGATAGTACTGGGGTTGTGAAAGGGAAAGAGGAGGTTTGATGGTGCAGATGTACAATGTGAGGTAATTGTTACATTGGCAATGGGCGTCCACAAAGAAGTTTTAACGTGTTTTTTGGATTGTCGAGGCTGCGTCTGAAACCGTGCGTGAGTTTGCTGTGATTCAATTCAATTTTCATTTCAATGCAATTTTGTGGAGGTCTAAATCGTGACAGCAGTTGTCTTGAAGGACTTTACACAATTCAATTCAATGTATTTATGTAATAATAAACACATAGGTGGTGGTCCCAAGGGAGCTGAATGGCAAATGTTAATAAATGTCCCGGATCAGAGAAACCTCAGAGGGCCCACATTGACAGAGGGATCTGCTCCCACAGTCGGACAGGCAATATTTTCTAGTCTTGTAAGTCATTTTCTTTATAGCCTCCCCCACCTATCGCTAAGAAGGCTATAAAATAACACAAACGAATCGAGACACTCTGATGATGTATATTTAAGTTTAGGCATACTTTATTATACCAGTAATGCCACTGGGGTGTCAGTCAGGTGCAGTGGTCGCAGAAGTACAGCTCCCAGGGAAAGCATAGAAAGCAAACAGGTTTATTCCAAAGGTGCGTTCAGAAAGGTTTCTGGTCACATGAAGAAAAAAACATCTGAAGGCAACCTAATAATAATGCAATGGCTGATTATAGCGCTTTTTAGACACTCAAAGACACCACTCCATACATGGTGGTAAAAAACTACTAATGTAGCCACAGCTGCCCTGGTGCACATTGACAGAAGCAAGGCAACCAAATTGTGCCATTTCTCCCTCTGACCTCCACCAGTCATTCACGAAAACAGCAGACTCGTTGAAGGCAATGTGGGTGAACTATCTTGCACCTGGTGTTTCCAGAGGTCTCCCATCATCACACTAGCCAGGTCCTGCCCTGCTTAGCTTCAGAGGTCTGACAGGATCTGGTACGAACATTTGTGTATAATGTATAACACATAAATTATACAAGATACACATAAATGCAGAAAACATTTGTACACTTGTGTATTCATTCAATACAAAGGCTTAAATGCTAAATAACTATATCTGTGGAGGGGCACGTTTCAGCCCTACCATACAGACAAAGAAAAATGTATTTTAGCTAAAAAAAAAAAAATCACGTATTGTTGATAGAAAAATAAAAAGTCAGATAAAAAATAGTTCTGCTCAACTACATATTCTTTCCATCCTTGTCCAAATCAGTCAATGGTCCTGCTGCATATGGTTACAATCACTCCATAACCTGAAAAACAAGATTATCTGGTAGAAAAAAATGAGGTGCTGCAAAAGTTACATTTGATTGCAGGTTGTGCAGGACACACACAGTCTATTCCTGACTTTACTGTTGTTGAGTTATTGACTTTGTGGAGGCTGTCCTGCATTTGTATGATGGAAACTTACTATAGATTAGATTAGTCTTTATTTGTCCTGGACAAACAATGGGAACAGGGAATCAAGGATTTGCCAATTACAAATTTTAGTTACAAAAACAAAAAACAAGACTAATCTATAATATTGCACAGACACACAAGATATACTGTAGGTCTGTTATAGACATAAGTCCTGTTAAACATAGAGATGGATAGATTGTGTTATTTACCTTATTCTAAACGTGATAGTACCACAGAGATTACAAAACGTATGGTTCCAGAAGGCAGGAAATAAATGTTTAGTTGTTGCGGAAACAGAAGCATCAGGAGAAAACCTACAAATAAAACAAATGTTTTATTCGGTAGCGACAGTGCATGTTAAAGGATGCACCTCTCCAGATAGATATGTAATCCTCGCTAATCCTCACTAGCTGTTTGCTGTTGATTTAAATCAACCATCTAAAGCTGTGTTCTGCACCGCCGATGCATGGACATGTGTTGACGGAGGCATGGGCAGGCGTTCACAAAATTTCAGCCGCATGAGTTTGGGCAATCTGTCGTACTGCCCTGCGATGGGGAATCACGTGTTTAATAACCGGACTTCCGTATCGGTGAACAGCACTTGTTTACAGTTACAGTAGAACACCAACTCACTGCGTCCCCCATTGTCAGCCCTGGTTTAGTCCTGGTTTAGCTCATATTTTGGTTATTTTCAAGTGTCTTCCTCTTCCTGTTTTTGACCTGCTTGTGTCCCTGTGATCACTTCGCTGCTCTCTGATTGGTTTTCGCACGTGCATGAAGCGAGGACCTTCAGTGAATCTCTTCGCCTGCTTTCACTGCATGTATCTAGCCGTCGTACCCACCGCCTCTGCCGCGCCGCAACAACACGTCTGCCGCGCAGGAGAAAAGTGCATGCTGCAACGTACATGCAATTCCTCGCATGAGCGGACGTCACCATTGACTTTACATTAAAAATAGCTGCAACACAGGATACGGTGGGAACACATAAAATTGGCGTAAGTGGCTCTTAAAAAAATCTTTAAAGTGTTACATGTATATTAGATAAGATAAGATAAGATAAACCTTTATTAGTCTCACAGTGGAGAAATTTCAGTGTCATTGTTGCACATTACAGCAGAGAAAGGAAATAAGAGCACTCAGATTGCACACATCATAGTCTATTATTTAAGAAAATAGACAATAATTTAAGATAAAATAAAGTAAAATAAAATGAGATAAACTCTGGGCTATAATTGCACTGTCAAACCTGTAGCTACCCTTTGCAGAGAAAGAACAAGCAAGGAAGCTTTTTGGTGGAATTGGATGCAGCCAGATCTTGGGCTCACAATCGCCCCCTACCTTGAGGCTGGGTCACTGCCTGCCTAAATTAGAATTGTTTCAAGCTGTAGTTGAGAGCGATAAAGACTCCAATATGTAGTCAAAAACACAAATTATGACACATCCACTAAACTGCACACATGTAGTTTGTAAAAGAAATATGTTTGAACGCTAAAAACAGCGATAAATGGCCGCCCCTACCTGCACGTCACTGAGTATCTTCATTATAAGTTGAGTCATGTTTTTTTTTTGCATTTGTGTGTATTCCAATAGTTGAAGACCACATGTTGCTCCATACTGTCTGTGCGAAGCTTCAATCTCATTCCGAGACCTTGTATAGTGTTGTTATTACGGCCTGTGCTTCCAAAGTGTTGTGGAGACGTCAGCGGTGAGATGGGCAGTGTGAATGGCTGGCTTATGTACGCTGGGCTCTTCTAAAAGCACTCTCGCTGTGAAGAATCTACTGCCTCAAAGCAAAAACTGTCTGCTGAAATTATACACAAGCTGACAGTCAAATGGCTCCCAGCTGCAAAAAGGAGAAGAAGAAGAAGAAAAAACATTTAATTCCATGACAATTTAATTAGACAGTTCTATGAAATGTTTAGGTCCGAGATGTCATGATGTTTGGATGTGAAGGACAGTGTTGCAATAAAGGAAATTATGAAACTGTCGAGTGAATACATGTGGCATTTTTTTACGCCAGACCAAAATGAACGGCGAACATACTGTATTTCACCACATTGTCTTTAACAATCTGGAGTACTGGGGTTTTTGTGTGTTGTTTGTTCCAACAGAAATAGTCTAGTTTAACACAAGAACTCAGGACAGCGCTTCTCAGGACACTCAGATGACGCTTCTCAGATGCCTCATGTGTCATTATTCTTTCACTCCATACACAGTGGTGATAAACTACTACTGTAGCCACAGCTGCCCTGAGGCACACTGACAGAAGCGAGGCAACCAGTCTGTGCCATCAGCTCCTCCAACCACAACCAGCCATTCACTTACACACACCAGACTCATTCTTGGCTATGTGAGTGAAAAGTCTTGTCTAAGGACACAACAAAATGTTGGCACTTTACAGCCAAAACCGCCTAATTGTGGCATCAGGTATTCCAAGAGGTCTCCCATCTCAGTACTAACCAGTCCCTGCCCTGCACAACAACAGAGGTCTGACGTGATCTCGCTTTGGAATGCAAGTTTGGCTTTTCATTTTGTGAGTCCAGTTATGCACGTTGTTGTATGAATGTGAAATATGGTAACACAATCAAAAAGGCAGTGGCCGCATTTGGCTCGTGGGCCTTAGCTTGGCCATGCCTGAGCTATAGGGGGTTAGCATCGTCAATGTCCATCTACAGTATATATACCGTCAATAGATAGAACCATAGAAGTATAGGTCCAAGTTACATGGATTTCACTGCACAACCTTTCAGATGTAGTTTCAAAGTTAGATACTCCAGCTTTAATTCTATTCCTCTAAATAAACGTTCTTTCGCCCACAGCAAACCGAACAAACCTGTGACGCAATTTTGCCAAAGTTGAAGGCTGAATGTGTTTATATAAAAGAATAGACCCCAGCTTTTTCTTCAAACCAAACAAAAGTAGGATCAATATCGATTCATCTTTGGGATCAAATTATAAAAACACACCACAAATCTTCATAATTTCCCTACACTACCATGCCATACAGTTTCGCCGTCTGTTAAAAAAAAAAGTGGAAATATTCAATGCAGGTGTTGAGCCCCATTCAAATATTGCTGATTCGTTCTATTTACCTAAACGTAATGGATTTGTTTGTGGTTCCGACCCCCGGTTTTCCCCCCCTCGCTCCTGGTCTATCGGGGACTTAGCTACATTCACTTTCTGCTGCTCTGGCCATTTATTTTGATTAGGGAATGAAGTTCTCCACACAAGCATAGCCACAATAATTGACACAGTGTCCCACAGAGGTCAGGACATACAGCGTTAGTACTTATGCGCCGGTTGGAGTGGCAGTCAAAGCCACGCTGCATTATTGCTTTAGGTTGCAACTAAAACCTGTCGGCGAGCTCGTAAATGATATTTCCTGAGCTCCCCCCCCCCCCCTCCCACCCCCCACCCCACCCCCACCTTAGCCTGACAGGATAATTGATGTGTGCCGCAAACTTAAATTGGCTCCAAACCGAAGCCATTTCTGCTGGATGTTTTGTGTTGTCAGTGCGAGGCAGAGGTGACTAGTGGTAGTGGAATGGGTGACACATTAGACCCAGGAAGAATT